ACCTAACCCATCGAGAGCGATGCTTTCAGCAAACGTCACTATTACGGTGGTTTAATTTTTTTATAGTACGTCGCGTTTCTAACGGATTGGTCAATTCCGTGCTTCGAAATACGACGCATCAGGTGAGAGGTCAACGTTGTTGTTGTTTAAGATTCAGCTACTTGGAACTAAAAGTTCCAAGTAGCACGGGCTATGGTGAGCCCGCGGAGAGGTCAACGATTAACAGCGACTTAATCATTCAATAAGACTCGACCGTCTAGAATACAGCTCAGGAGCTGCAGCTTTCTTTTAACACTTAATTAATTTATTGATATGGTGGAAAATTTTAAAGTGCTTGTAAAAAGATAAATTATATTTAAAACTCTATTCAACCCCTCTTGCAGGAAGGTAGCTCCCTAGAAACACAAACCGAAACTGTCTCTATTTTCCGCTTGTTACAACTTGTAATAAAGTTGTTACATCTTGCCTTAACGTGTTTATGACGCATTAGAACGTTGTTACAATTTGTTATATTGGTTAATATATTTGATTGGGAGGTGTTAAAACTTGTCCGAACGTTGTACCAACGTCGAAGTTTCGGTGTGTGTTTGAGGGGCTGGCAAACGGTCAGCACAGAGCTGCGAACACCATCTCCAGACTAAGAAATATTGAGAAACCTCTAAATTAAGTAAATATCAAATAAATATCGCCTTTATGACGGGAAGACCATATGGCAAGAAACCTCTGAACAAGAGCAGACATTATACACCTCCCCAAGTGGACACCCCGCCAAACACACACCGAAACTACGACGTTGGTACAACGTTCGAACAAGTTTTAACACCTAACCAGTTATAACAACCAATTTAGCAAGTTGTCACAACGTTCTAATACGTCATAAACACGTTAAGCCAAGATGTAACAACTTTATTACACGTTGTAACTAGCGGAAAATAGAGACAGTTTCGGTTTGTGTTTCCTGGGAAGACACCCTTGAGTAATGTAAGAAATTATCAAAGAAGTCACCAAGCCGGGAAGGATATATGTAGCACCATCACATGTGCGGATAATCAGAGGGCGCTAAATATCACCGAGGATGCCAATGAGAGAACAGAAACTTTGTGAATCAACGGTGTTTGCTCATCATGTGCGGTTGCAACCCGTCCTCTTGCTAATTACGTCGCTTTTCGCTAAAATTCTCAAATTTATTTGTAACTTTTTTCATTTTCCAATTACGGCCTTTTTTTGGCCGTGGCGCATACGAGCGAAAGCGACGTGATTTGGAAGAGAATGAGAATGGTATGAAATACTTAATAGAATGGTAGGGTGCCACAGAATGAGAAAGGTAGGAAAGGGAAGGTGAAGAATGAGGAAGATAGGAAGTAATGCAGAGACAAAAAAACATATGCGAACAGATTTTCGCAATAGCGTAATTAGAGACTAGAAATTAAAGACTTAATTACCCCTGGGTAATTAACTCTCGCAAAAGTCTATACAAAGTCGCCAATATATATATATATATATATATATATATATATATATATATATATATATATATATATATATATATATATATATATATATATATATATATATATATATATATATATATAGAGTAGCCTAATACGAGGGTTTATTACAAATTAACAAACGGCGCGATTATCTAAATATTGAGAGCTATGACCTATATATATTGTAAATTATTTAATAAAGAAAACAAAAATAGAGAACTTAAAACGCAACAAGTACAATATCAACGGAAAACCTTCCAGTCCGACGATGAAAGTGAGAAACATTTTTACAATAGCATCTAACGCAAGAAACATCTGACCAGAAGAAGCATTAGAAAATAATACTGTGAGTAATTTATGCATTTTATCTGTGTAAATACCAAATTGGGTTGGATATATATATATTTTTCTGAATTTAATTCGGAAAACTAGTTCACAAACTGTTTTTTTTTTTGCTCGCAAAAAGCCTAACATTAGGAAATAAACAGCTTAGTTTAGACTTAAAAATTTATAATCTATTGTTCTCTGTTTTTCTTTACGCACCTTTCAAGTTACATCTTTCAAATTCAAATTTAATTCATACCTTTCAAAGCAGCTGCGATACATTTCTTACACAAAGCCTTCCCTGGAAACACAAACCGAAACTGTCTCTATTTTTCGCATATTAAAACTTGTAATAAAGTTGTTACATCTTGGCTTAACGTGTTTATGACGTATTAGAACGTTGTTACAACTTGCTATATTGGTTGTTATAACTGGTTAGGTGGTGGTAAAACTTGTTCGAACGTTGTACCAACGTCGTAGTTTCGGTGTGTGTTTGGCGGGTTGAAGCCGTCTCAGTGATGACTGAATACCTTTCTGCACACGTTCGGTAAGACATTTACAAGAATTTAAAAACTCTTATTTCTATGAATAAATCAATAAAATATATATATGAACCTGAAATTTCGTCTTGAAATATGCCAGTCATAAAACATTTGAGAGAATATGAGGCAACATCGATCGATAAA